CAGTAACAGGCATTGGAAATATGTATTGTGGAAAACAATAGATTTTACAGGATCGCATTCAAATGCCCTCTGTGAAAAAAACTACTGAAAGATCTTTTTTTTATTTCACTTGTCATCCAAAGCATTTTTTCATTTCAAACAACAGCAGTTTATGTCATGAAAAAACACTTTTCTAAGTAGAACTGCATCAGGAATTTGAATTTGCTTCTTGCTGTTACTTTACAATAAAACTAGGCTGCAGCTGTTGCCTGATTACTAGGTGATTTTGGAAGAGAATTTCAGTTAATGATATTTAGGAGATAGCTGGAGATAACATCCATCACTATTATCAACAGTTATCGATGTTAAGGGATAATTTTGCTTAGTTTTATAGAATGTATTTTTATTGGTCAATGACCAAAATAAAATTTCTGTCCTTCTGTCTATCATAATATATGCTATACTGGCATTTTACTGAAGAAGTTGGTGTTCCAAATAGGTATCTTTCAAAAGAAGAAATTTCACCCAATTTAGTTACAATGGTTTGGATTCATATATAATCATACTTAGAAAGGAAACACTGAAATCAATGAGACAAATTAATTGGACTAAGGCTATGTTCACACATTGTGCTAAACCATACTGTAATGTGGTTTATTTGATTTTGGATTAGCATGTTATATGAAGCCAGCTATTGTAAACTATGGCTTATGGATTATCACTGGCGGCCCCATGTATGGCCTTCAACCCCATTTTTGTGACTTACAAGAATTCTCCAATATTGTACTATCAACCTCTGGCAACAAATTGTCAAAACACAGCAGCATTATTTTCTGCCTTTTCAAAAATAAATGCCAAGTAAAATAGGTGTGTTAAGCCTGCCATATGTTTAACACATCTATACTTTTTAAAAACATCAAATCCAAAAAATGTAAAAAAAGGGGGGGTATATCCCACTCTTCTGACAGCCATCATGCCTTTTTGGAGGTAAAAAAATGGACTAGATTTCATTTTGCAATTGCAAGTGTTATGTCTATTGAAGGAGAAGGTTCATAAATTAGCATCCCAATCTCTACCTCCATTAGTTGAAAAAGACCCTCATCTGCAACTCTGGAACTGCTGTCAGACATCTGCTTAATTCAGACAATATGCTAAGCAAACTAGAACTATGCTTGCATATCAGCATATATCAAATAAACTACAACAGGAACCAAATCAATACAATATGGAAAACACAGTATGTGATTTTATGTGTTTTAATTCACTGTGATCTTTAATGTTCTTTTGCTCACCCACATTATTAGAAAAAAGCCTTATCTGAAAACACTACATTGCAAATAGCAAGCTGCAAGACTGCCCTTCACAGCTGGCTACCTTACATTCCAGACTGACGTAGACATAAAATCCTATCTTCACAAGGGAAAGATATCTCAGTTCCTCCTCCTATTCAGGGGACAGAAAGTTTAAAACCAAGGCAGAAATTGCTGGGCTGAGGAAAGAGGAAAAATATGATTCTTAGAGTCTCATATTAAAGTTTGGAATTTCCAGGAAAAAGGGATGTCCAGGAAAATTAAAGCAGAGAAACTTTAGCAAAGAGGCTTCAGGTACTGTTACTAGAAGAATAGGTTAACAGATGTAGGAAAGAATTTGCATAGTTATTTCTCTTTATTGTGTCTATTAATAAATACTCTGCTCAAGCTCAGTAACTGTGGGTATTTCAGGTTTTTAAATATATCTCAGATTTTATATGAGGAAATAATTTCTTTTTAGGATCTTTTGAGATTTGGAATAATAATTTTTAAAATCTGCTCCAATCTCTTTGCAATTAGTTTTTTTTTTAATTGTAGCAGGGAAGCACGTTCTTGTGGTCTACTTGGAGCACTGTATTTTCTACTGCACTGTAATTCCCTTTTCAAGTTGCCTTGTCCCCATTATTTGAAGAGATCTGTCTTAACTTTTTTCAACAGGGAATGTTGGCATTTTATCATCTCAAATTTAAAAGAGGTGCTACAGTTTATCTCTTCATTTAAAAAAAAATGAATATTGTGTATCTCTTGCAAGATTGGTCAATCCTCCAAGAAAGATCTGAATCTACCTCACAATGCTACCTCACAATGCTATACAGACCAAAAGTGACACCATAAGAACTGTTTCTCCCTGCTTCCTCCATTTTTTCCGTTTTAATCATCAAAAAGGCAGCAGAAGTCTGAGAACTCTGTCTCTCGTACACAAAGGGTAATGGAGTAGACACCAGTTGAGATGCCACCTAGAAAATAGATGACAGCAAGAGTCACCAAATTGCTACCCAAACAGGATGCAGGGCCAGAATATGAAGACCCAGAGGGCCTCTGGGAGAAGAGTTTTGAGACTCCAACCTTCTACCATACATGTTCAACCAGTTTCCACTATACCCCATAATAAAGATATCAACCAATGAAATGTATTTAAAGTAGTCAAAATGATTTTAATGTGTAATTCATATTTTGCAAAGTCTTGCAAAACTACTCTCTCCAAGCAGATTTACAATTTTCTAGTGAAAGATATGAAAATTCTCTGCCTGTGAAAATTAGCCCATTTGCTTACCATGCAGATAATCTATTTCGGACATCACAAAGGCATATGAAATTAATGAGTAGAAGCATAATAGCAGAGTAAATAGTTCATATCCAGCTATAAGTGACTACAGAGCAGCTCTTAACTGGAAGTTAATAAGACTATAGTAATTGCAAGAACTTGAAGCTGAAAGACTAAGGTACATTCATTTATTTCAATTAATTTCTTCCTTTCTTGTCCTCAAGGCACAGTAATGATTACAATTTATTGCAATATATTTGATTCTTATTTTAGATTAAAAGTGTGGGGAGGAACCTGCTCAAGGCCACATATCATACAGCAAGTTGAGTCTTGGCTTTTCTGAGCACAGTATATTTATAAACAGAATCATCCATAGTGGTGGTCAAATAAGGGCAAATGATGAGAGCAACTTTGTGCCTTTATAACCCCACCTCCATCCCTTTTGTATGATTCCAGTTTGGGAGATTTACAAGGCATCTTATTCATACAATGTGGATGACATTTCTCTAAATTATCACTGAAATTACATTTGTAAGTGATCCAAGAGAAAGAAAGTGTGTTTGTGGACCCTTCTGCTGCTTAAAAAACAATTATTGTGCATCAGACTTGCACACTACTTGGAAGTAAGTCACATTATTCAACAGAACTTATTCCAAAAAATCTTTACACTTTACAGATTAATTAATATATAAATGTAATAGTTTTTGGTTCTTTTGAACAGGATACAAACATCCCAAAGAACAATTTATCTAGACACTGCTGATTCAAATTAAATCTTCTCCCATAACTAAAGGCAAATCTATTTGTTAATGTGAGGTGTAACTATAGAATTACAGTGGGCTAAATCCAAATTAAAATATTCTTAGATTAATTTGGTTAGATTTACATAGCATGCAAAGTTTGGGTTTAACGGTAGGTAATTAAGCCATTTGGTTGATACCTCACAATATGCCATAAACCATTATGCACTAGCTCATGCAATTCAGGGTGCTAGTACTCCCCTTTAAAGTCCTGAATGGCATGGGACCAGGTCATTTGCGGGACCTCTCCTTGTGGATATCTGCCCATCCCACCAGTTTAGATAGATGGGCTGCTCCGGATCCCTTCTCTTAAATGTTGTCTTCTAGTGGGACCTTGGAGGTGTGCCTTCTCTGTAACTGCCCTGACCCTTTTATTGCTGTTTTGTTGTAAGTTACCTAGGATTATTGCATATAAGATAGGCAGCCATATAAGTTTTAAAATAAATAAATAAATAAAAATTTTAACGCCATAATTATATAGTGAACCATAAGCCATCTGGCTGGGTGACTTTGGGCCAGTCACTCTCTCTCAGCTCAACCCATCTCACAGGATTGTTGTGGAGAAAGTAGGAGCCAGGAGTATTAGGTATGTTTGCCGCCTTGAGTTGACTAAAATATATTAAAAAAGGTGGGATAAAAATGTAATAATAGTAGTGTCTGTTAACATTATCATTGTGTCATGCAAATATTGTCATGGGCTAAATGTTTTTTTTTCCTACAGCACAGGTCAAGTGATGGTAGCAATAGAGTTATTTCTGGAAAGGAGATGAAAAAAAATTCTGCTATTGATCTTTGTGTTCACTGGTAAGTGGGGAAGGCAGTTCTTTTTGCTAGGAAGGAAGAAATGTAATTTCTTGGCAGCCCATTTTTAAATCAATGATTTAACAAGTATTCTTCTTTTTCAATAGCCACAGGCAAACTACTGATATTAGCTAATATGGTTTTACCTCTTGGGATGGAGAACAGCCAGCTGCAGAACAAAGGAACAGACAGTCCCCTAGGTATGAACTTTCAAGTTGCGAACTTCCACTGATACAAACAAGATGGACCCGGAAGTCAGAGCTGGAAGTTGGGAGAAGGCGCGCCACAAACTAACCCTTTCCCACCATCTCCTGATTTCCAATTCCAACTTCCGGTCCTGACTTCTCGCATGGCCAGTTCTGTTTGGTGTGTGGTGACTGCAAATTGCAGACTGCAAATGTCTGCAATTAAGCACAAGAGTGCTGATGGGGAGGGGGGTAGAATGAAGAAACAGCAATCTATTATGATTGTCATGAAGATGGAGATATTGAAGAAAACAGAGAGGGGGAGAAGATGGTGAATGTGGCACGTTCCTATTGCATGAAACATTCCACAGTTGGAACGATCATTAAGAACAAAGACAAGATCATGGAACATATCAAAAGTTCAGCACCTATGCAATCCACAATAATAAGCAAGAGGAGAGGAAAAGTGATAGAAGAGATGGAGGTGCTGCTTGGCACGTGGATTGAAGACCAGCATCAGAGGCATGTGCCACTTAGCCTAATGCTGATCCAGGAGAAGGCTAAGAGCTTATTCCATGACTTACAACAGAAGGCTGGTGAAGGTGCTGCTGAAGAGGTGTTTGCTGCAAGCCATGGGTGGTTCCACTGCTTTAAGGCTTGTATGAATCTTCATAATGTGAAAGTCAGTGGCGAGGCAGCAAATGCAGATGAGGCTGCAGCCAAGGAGTTCCTGGAAACCTTCAAGGAGATCATCGAGTAAGATGGTTATTTGCCCCAGCAAATATTCAATGTAGATGAAACGGGGCTTTATTGGAAGAAAATGCCAGACAGAACGTACATCAGCAAGGAGAAGACCATGCCAGGCTTCAAAGCTGTGAAGGATAGGCTAACTGTGCTGCTAGGTGGCAACACTTCTGGTGACCTGAGCTTAAACCACTGCTAGTCTACAACTCTGAAAACCCACTCTGGTTTTTCTACCATTTCATCCCAGAAGTGGAGAGGTACTGCTGTGTGAAAAAGATTGACTTTAAAATTCTGCTTGTGTTGGATAATGCCCCAGCTCATCCACCTTACCTGGATGATTTCCATCCAAATGTGAAGGTTGTGTATCTGACTCCCAACACCACCTCCCTCCTGCAGCCAATGGACCATGGAATGATAGCAACCTTAAAAAATACTATCTTCGGTGCATGTTTAGGCAGGCAGTCCAGGCAACTGAAGCAGACTCCCAGATGACCTTGCACCAGTTTTGGAAGTTGTACAACATCTACAAGGCCATCAAGAACATTGATGCAGACTGGCACAAGATTACCCCTGCGAACATGAACAGGGTGTGGAAACATCTGTGCTCTCAGTTCATTCATGACTCTCGTGGGCTTGAGGTGGCAGAAAGGGAGTCGCAGGCTGTTATCAGCAACTTGGTTCCCCTCAGCAAGGAGCTTCAACTTGACCTGGAGGAGCAGGACTTTCATGAGCTGCTAGCTGCACAGACAGAGGACCTCTCCAGTGAAGACCTCATGGAGTTGGAGGAGCAGCAAAAACAAGAGGAAGAGATTGAACCATTGAAGCGGTTCCAGACCAAGCTGATGCCAGAGGGATTCAGCTTAATTGAGAAAGCGCTATCATGGTTTGAGATGCAGGACCCTAATGTGGACTGCTTCACCAAGGTGTCTGCAGCTGTCCATGATGCAATCCAGTGCTACAGTGTCATTTATGAGAAGACCAACACTCAAAATTCACTGGACTGCTTCTTCAGGAAGGTGGAAAAAAGTGCTGTTTCAGTTACAGAGGACAAGCCTAGGCCATCTCCGCAAGCGCCTACACCATCACCACAAGTGCCTACGCCATCACTGCAAGCACCCATGCCATCACAAGTGCCTACATTGATGCTGCCGCTTATGTAAGGTATGAACTGTGCATATTTTTATGCTTGTTGGACTTGCAAACAAAACGGACTTATGAACAGCCTCTCAGAATGTAAGTAGGGGACTCTCTAATGCAGGAAGAACTGTGGTCTGACTAGACCTTCACCTTCTATTCTAATGGATCACAAACTCTTATTGTCCATACAATTTATAGCATCTATGCAGCATGTTTACCACTTATAAATTCATAGTGCTGAACTTTTGCCTTTATTCTTCTGACAGTAAAAAAAGAACTTTTGAAAACAATAGGATTTCCCATTGTAAGAATGAATCTCAGTGGTCTAACTACTAGAAATGATGTACCACTGTTCTTGCATTTTATGAGTTTTCTAGTGACTAGAAGGAACAGGTGGGGACAGATCATCCTGGAAAAAATCTATCTATACAGTCGCTAACAGTGAACACAAACTTGATGGCACATAATCAGGTGACTGGGTTCCAGTAATAACCAATTCAGTAAACCCAACTAGTAAGATAGCATCTTTTACAAGTCAGTTAGATTCAATGGAAGCAAAAGAAAAAAATATTTATGTTTTATGCTCAGTGTAGTATTGATTGGCTTAGTATGATACTAACTCATGGTTCATCTCTTAATGTGTGGTGTGAACCTGACC